ATTAGTAAATTGTGAGCACGATTTAGCAAATCGAGGGAACGGATTAGCAAATCGAGGCAACAAAATAGTAATCGTGTGCATGTTTTAGTACATCAAGGGAATGAATTAGTAAATTGTGCGCACGATTTAGCAAATCGAGGGAACGAATTAACAAATCGAGGGAACGAAATAATAATCGTGTCCACGTTTTAGTACATCGAGGGAACGAATTAGTAAATTGTACGCACGATTTAGCAAATCGAGGGAACGAATTAACAAATCGAGGGAACTAAATAGTAATCGTGTGCACATTTTAGTACATCGAGGAAACGAGTTAGTAAATTGTGCGCATGATTTAGCAAATCGAGGGAACTAAATAGTAATCGTGTGCACATTTTAGTACATCGAGGGAACGAATTAGTAAATTGTGCGCATGATTTAGCAAATCGAGGGAACGAATTAACAAATCGAGGGAACTAAATAGTAATCGTGTGCACATTTTAGTACATCGAGGGAACAAATTAGTAAATTGTGCGCACGATTTAGCAAATCAAGGGAACGAATTAACAAATTGAGGGAACGAATTAACAAATTGAGGACACAACATAGTAATCGTGTGCATGTTTTAGTACATCGAGGGAACGAATTAGTAAATTGTGCGCACGATTTAGCAAATCGAGGGAACGAAATAATAATCATGTGCACGTTTTAGTACATCGAGGGAACGAATTAGTAAATCGTGTGCACGATTTATTTATTTTTTCTTGCATGTCATGTGCGGGGCTCCGTAGATTTATTATCAGTGTTGAAAGAAGTTTTGCTGCTTAATATTTTTTGGGACCTGTGATACTTTTTTCAGGATTTTTGATCAATAAAAAGTTAAAAAGAACCGTGTTTATTCAAAACAGAAATGTTGTGTTACAATATACACTACTATTCAAAAGGTTGGGGGTCGGTAATTTTTCTTTCTAAATTTCTAAAGAATTTTTCAAAGAAATTAATACTTTTATTCTACACGGATGTGTTAAGTGGATAAAAAGTGATAAGACTTAAATTGTTAGAAAAGATTTTGATTTTGAATAAATGCTGTTCCTTTTAACAATTATTCCTCAAAGAATCCTGAATAAAAATCACAGGTTCCAAAAAATATTAAGCAGCACAACAGTTTCAACACTGATAATAAATCAGCATATTAGAATGATTTCTGAAAGATCATGAGACACTGAAGACTGAAGTAATGGCTGATAAATTCAGAAGTATATTAAAATAGGAAACCAATATTAGAAATTGCACAATATTACAGTTTTTTTCTGTATTTTTGATCAAATAAATACAGCCTTGATGAGCATAAGAGTCTCCATTAAAAAAACATTTAAAATCTTACTGATCCCAAATTTTTGAACAGCACTGTATATAGATTTAGTTTCTGGGTACCAGTCCATTAACTTTTCCATTCTGGTCTTGGATGACACCATCTACTGTTACGTATGATGTGTTGATGTAATACGAATGAATTTGCTTGCTTTTGTGTTCTTATGACAAGTATAGTTAAATATCTTTTTATATTTATTTACTTTGTGAACTGATTTTATTCTACTCATAATTGGTAAACTATAGTTCTAAGTTATGTGTAAATACTGTAAACATTTGTCTTCTTTTTTTGTGTAAGTACAATCTCTGTAGCATATAAATCTACTGGCTTTTTAATGTTAGGGCTCTTTGCTCAGCAGCCTTAAACTTAATGTACTTCTGTCAGGGAAAAACAACTTGTAATTCTGGAAAATTAAGTTTTTTAAAATCCAGTAGCAATTTATATGTGGTTGTAAAATAACAGCCCTGTCCGAGGGCAGAATACTATCTCCAATGCCCTTTGGGGCTCCAGATTAATTTTTATATGTCTGTATAAGCTATTGGTCAAAATGTACATGAAATATAAAACATTCATAAAGCTAAAACTTTCAAGAGTGATTTTTTTTCGTCACACATCACAGCTATTTGATCCAACTTTGATCACACCTTGAACACACTTACCGCTTTTTTTAAATGGCTCTAAATCACATTCGGAGTATTAAATTGAAGTTTCAGTGTATTTAAGTGACATGAACAGTGAAACGTTGGTAGAGTAAGTGGAGAATTAAGAAAAACAAGGCAAGTTTTGCAATATGTTTAGATTATATCCATTGCGCTGTAAATGCAATCTGTCTGACACTTCCAAAATATTAATGTAGAAAGCATAATCGTACATTAGTTATGACAAAAAGACACGAAACAACATTTCAGATACATTTTCAGATACAAAAAAGAGAGAAAAGCAACATTTGTAATATATGTATACTATACTGTGTTATGCCATGTTTTATCAAACATGGATGAGCCAAAACAAGTGTTGGACGTTTACAAAGAACTGTTTCATTAGCTTTGTTTTATATTCATAGCAGAAAATACATTAATTTTAAATAAGCTGTGGACAACTATATAATATTACAATTCCATCACAAATATTTAAAAGATTGGCAGGTTATATTCTACTTTGATGTGTTTCATTTCAGATGTGCAATAATACGGGATATTTGTGGTATATTTGTTCATTTGTATTTTTTCTATTATATACAGTATATAGTTTGTATATGTTGTTCATTTATTTTTCAAAAGTTCATTTATTTCTAAAGATATATATATATATATAAATCTGCACTTATTTACTAATATTTTTTTCAGAACAACCTCTATAAGAATACAATTTGATATGAATAGATTTTATATTGCATAAATACATAGTATAATACACATTAATTTTGTACTATTCTTGAAAGCAGATTGATCTAGTTGAAGGCTAGTGTTCCATAATGGCTACAATTCATGTTAGTATAAGCACCATACATATTTACATTGATCAACACCCTGTTGAACATTATAGTGCCCCTATTATGGGTAATGAACGGTTCATATTTTGGTTTTGGGAGTCCCCAACAACAGGTTGTCATGCATGCAAGATCAAAAAACACTTTCATTGTCTTTTAATATGCATTTATTTTTACATTACTTGCTCAAGGACTCCCAAACGCTACGCTCAACGATTAATTTTTCCAAACCCCTCCTTTGCGTGACACTAATCTGCGGTGATTGGTCCGATTGGTCTCATTTTCATTTCATCATAAGCCTGTAATGCATGATAAAGCAGCGTTTGTGAGCGCAGTGCTGCTTTATGTACAGCGTTACCACTATTTTTACTACTCCAAAAGCAGCACCTAGTGGCAAAGAATGAATTTGCATTTTCATTCAGACCAATGTGCCAATATCAGACCAATATGCTAATGTTTCATGATGACGTCAACATGAAACGCTTGGGATTCGTTTTAAAAACGACTCGTTTCAATGATTCAGAGTCGACTCTTTCTTTTGAGAGACAATAACTTTATACACGGTGCACTTTCAGATTTTAAACTTTGCAGGATGTTTTCATTCACTTAGAGCTGTGTTACACACTGCATGAAAGGTAAGAGTGATTTTTTTTCGTCACACATCACAGCTATTTGATCCAACTTTGATCACACCTTGAACACACTTACCGCTTTTTTTAAATGGCTCTAAATCACATTCGGAGTATTAAATTGAAGTTTCAGTGTATTTAAGTGACATGAACAGTGAAACGTTGGTAGAGTAAGTGGAGAATTAAGAAAAACAAGGCAAGTTTTGCAATATGTTTAGATTATATCCATTGCGCTGTAAATGCAATCTGTCTGACACTTCCAAAATATTAATGTAGAAAGCATAATCGTACATTAGTTATGACAAAAAGACACGAAACAACATTTCAGATACATTTTCAGATACAAAAAAGAGAGAAAAGCAACATTTGTAATATATGTATACTATACTGTGTTATGCCATGTTTTATCAAACATGGATGAGCCAAAACAAGTGTTGGACGTTTACAAAGAACTGTTTCATTAGCTTTGTTTTATATTCATAGCAGAAAATACATTAATTTTAAATAAGCTGTGGACAACTATATAATATTACAATTCCATCACAAATATTTAAAAGATTGGCAGGTTATATTCTACTTTGATGTGTTTCATTTCAGATGTGCAATAATACGGGATATTTGTGGTATATTTGTTCATTTGTATTTTTTCTATTATATACAGTATATAGTTTGTATATGTTGTTCATTTATTTTTCAAAAGTTCATTTATTTCTAAAGATATATATATATATATAAATCTGCACTTATTTACTAATATTTTTTTCAGAACAACCTCTATAAGAATACAATTTGATATGAATAGATTTTATATTGCATAAATACATAGTATAATACACATTAATTTTGTACTATTCTTGAAAGCAGATTGATCTAGTTGAAGGCTAGTGTTCCATAATGGCTACAATTCATGTTAGTATAAGCACCATACATATTTACATTGATCAACACCCTGTTGAACATTATAGTGCCCCTATTATGGGTAATGAACGGTTCATATTTTGGTTTTGGGAGTCCCCAACAACAGGTTGTCATGCATGCAAGATCAAAAAACACTTTCATTGTCTTTTAATATGCATTTATTTTTACATTACTTGCTCAAGGACTCCCAAACGCTACGCTCAACGATTAATTTTTCCAAACCCCTCCTTTGCGTGACACTAATCTGCGGTGATTGGTCCGATTGGTCTCATTTTCATTTCATCATAAGCCTGTAATGCATGATAAAGCAGCGTTTGTGAGCGCAGTGCTGCTTTATGTACAGCGTTACCACTATTTTTACTACTCCAAAAGCAGCACCTAGTGGCAAAGAATGAATTTGCATTTTCATTCAGACCAATGTGCCAATATCAGACCAATATGCTAATGTTTCATGATGACGTCAACATGAAACGCTTGGGATTCGTTTTAAAAACGACTCGTTTCAATGATTCAGAGTCGACTCTTTCTTTTGAGAGACAATAACTTTATACACGGTGCACTTTCAGATTTTAAACTTTGCAGGATGTTTTCATTCACTTAGAGCTGTGTTACACACTGCATGAAAGGTAATTTTCAAAAATCCATAATAGGGGCACTTTAAACTTCAATGATTATTCATCTTAGCAGTTGTGTGAATCACTCCAGATGAGAATACTATACTGCCACCTGCTGGAACAAAGTCATTAGCTCACTACAGAACAGGAAAATTACAGTCATACATTCTATCAGTCTGTTCCCTTTCATAAGGCAAATACACACATATATGTTTAAAACCCAGTTCTGACGCCGGACACTGAACTTTAGCAGGGGGAGGAGGACACCTGGTCGTAGTCAGGGCACTTGAGCAGGGCAGGGTAGCTGGCATTCATCTGGAGAGAGGTGTCGCTGGAGATGTCTGACGGGCTGCGTCCTCGCGTCCTAGCGTCGGGGTGAAGGAACTGACCCGAGTAATCAGAGCAGTTGCTCAAGCGCGGCCGGTAGAAGCTGGGGTGAGGCTGGTAGATTTCCTCCGCTGTGTAACGCTTCATGAACAGGTAGACGGACATCACGCCTGCACTCTGAACAGAGAGAAGAAAACATTTCCTGAAGGAAATAACAGGCAACAACAGACAAGATCTAGAGCAAAAGCTTTGATTATGACAAATGATGACTGCTGATTTATATAAAAAGGTACAAATATACAGTGGTGGCCCAAATGATTAGAACACTAGTATTTTCACCAGCTAAAAAATGGTTTTAAGTCAGTCATTTCTATCTTTTGCTGTAGTGTGTCAGTAGGAAATATCAGTTTACATTTCCAAACACTCATTTTGTAATAATCCAGTGAGATTTTTGTGCTCCACACAGAGATCTGATCTGATCATCATCCAGTCTGTCTGGAATGACATGAAGAAACAGAACAAACTGAGACCGACTTAATCCACAAGAACTGTTGCAACATCTCCAAGATGCTTCAAGAAACCTACCTATCAGTTATATTTGACACACTACAGCAACAGATAGAAATAATTGACTTAAAACTTTAGATGGTGAAAATACTAGTGTTCTAATAATTTTGGCCACCACTGTATCTAGAAACATTGTACACCAAAATGTAGACAGAAGGAGAGAGAGACTAATATCTATATGCAATAAAAGTGGTAAATAAAAAAAAAGGCAAGTAGTTCACCATGGGATGCCAAGTGCCATTTGACCTTGACATAAAAATGATTGCAGATAGGCTCACAGAACAGTGATTTTAAAAGGTTTAAGAGGAAAACAGTGAAAATACAAAACAACAAACACGTGAAAGCAAACAAGAGAGCTAACAAGAGTACTGTAGGTTGTCGCTTTACTCCAAAAAGTGCAATGCACTGAGCAATGCTGACGTACGTCAAGTAAAAAGCCATAAATGTTTAGGTCAATGGGAGATTTTCAAACTTTATAAGAATGTTGCATGTGCAATACATAGGTTTAGCTCAATCAACCAAGATTCAGAACTTACAGTATGATAAAACAGTAAAGTGAAGCAGTAGGCATTATTCCACAATAAATGTTTCAAACAGTAGTATAGGTGTGCATCATTCCAAGTTTAAGGATGTGAAAAGCTAAAACATCCTAGGTTGTCATCTAGTAATTATGATAATTATGAAATGGCATGCTGCATTGTTGTCGCATGACCTAATTTAGTTTGTCACATGACCTCATCATATTTCATACTTAAAGCAGCATGTGGCTTTTAATCATTATCTTGGAAATAAAAATAGTTATTTTGCTTTTTTTTTTCCAGTTGTGTGCTATCTTTAGTTCAGTCTTCAGTTGAATTAACCCTTGAGAAAAAAGTATAATTGAACAAAATAAAAGGTTAGAATTGAAAAGAACATACTGTACTGTACAAAATGTAATGTTTTCAGATTCTTAATTGAATGTTATTTGCACATAAATGAAAATGTGTTATAGTTTACATTTATATTAAATACAGTTAGTTGAACTTAGCTGAGTGCTTGATGTTTAAGTAGCTTCATAACTACTTTATTGCGTTTTAAATATGATTATACTGTCGAATGTACTGGCAAGCATTTATGGTACACTAAAATTTTAAATAATTTCTATTGAAACTTGTATGTCAAGTATTCAAGTATTTAAATACATTTTTCATTAAATGTATTAAGGTTATTAAGTTAGTACATTATATAAATACAGAGTTCTGGCATGAAACGCTAGATGGCGCAGTCTGATAGGTCTAACTCAATCTGACCTGATGACATCATTATCACATGGCACAGCTGATTGGTTCTCTCCTGTATCGGTAGCCAATGAGCTCGCTGCTCAACATTCAAATATATGGCTAGTGCTTGCCATAGCAGTGCAGCTTGCTTCAGAAACCCTCCACCTTCCCCAGCTCCACCTGTATAGATCTGCTATGAGGTGGCTCATTTATGCTATATGGGGGTTATTTCATGTATGTTATATTTGCAGCAGCAATATTTCTTACATGCTCACAGCAGCATGTTGTGGATGTATTGGCAGTAGCAAGTCTCGGTACTTATAAGCCTATCAAAGACGTTTAAAATTGTTAGTGCGTGTGAACTACTTACAGTTCATTCATCAAACTGAAATTGGAGGTTCAGTGTTCAGTATTTAAGTAAGTATGCTCTGTTGCATACTGCTCATTTTGACAAATGCACTCATCTGTGTGTTCTGCTCAATGCATACTGTATTTGCAGTACCACAGCAACAGAAAGAGCAGTACAGAACACAGTCACTGCATATTTTAGGTCAAAATTAGGAAGATTAAATTATAGCATGTGGTGATCTTTAGCATTTCACAAATAGAGGTAAAATTGTACTGAACTCGTTGACATTACTTTCATCTTACATTCCTTTAAAGTCAGACTTAAATTATGCACAAAACAACGTTTGAATGGAGTCAGTACATTAAACATTCAGGCTGAATTAACTGCAGAGAAGTGCGAATGCCCTAATAATGGAGAAAAGTGAGAGAAGAATGACAGTAGATGGTAGTGTCAGAATTAAAGAGCTTTTTACCTCAGTGAGCAAGAAGGAAATGGCAGCGAACGCAAACGACCAGCCATACTTATAGCTGAAATACGCCTCATTACTCTTGGTCCTGCTGAACATCTCGTCATTTATGCTGGAGATGTAGAGCACCAAACCAACCACCAGAGACAGACCTGAGAGAGAGACAAACATCAGTCTGACAAATAAGATGTGTCAGAGGAGGAAGTGGAAGAGGGAGTGTACCTGACAGGATGAAGAAGATTCCAGAGACAAACGCCAGTATGGTGCGATGGGGCCGAATGTGTCCGATATTGTTGAGCACAAAACCAATGAACATAAAGAACAAACTGACCAGTGGGAACGGTGTGGCCGAACGAATCATCTCTGAAAAGATATAAGAAAGAGCATTTGACAGTGTGAAATTGTGAGTATAAATGCCTGTTCACACCGAGAACGATAACTACACTCTAAAACCTAACAAATATTCTAATTAATGTGGTTTAGTCAACTTTACTGTCCAACTTAATTGTAAAAATCTAGTAATTTACACACTATGCCTTTGTTACTCAGAAAACCAGAGTTAAGATAAATTGTTTTCTGTGAGAACCGTTGTCGATCTTAAAGTGCCCCTTAATTAATTAATATTTAAAACTTATAATTACCATTTCCAATATTGCCTTTCATGCAGTGTGTAATGTAGCTGTATGTGAATGTAAATGATCTGCAAAGTTGTAAAGCAGAAAGTGCACGATAAATAAAGTTATTGTCTCCCAAAATAAAGAATCGACTCTGAACAGCTGAAACGAGTCGTTAGTCCCACTTCCTTGATGGCTACACGTCACGGGGTAACATATTTGCATAATGCGCGCCTATGTTCTCCGTTGGCCGGCCGCGAACAACTTGACCCCGCCCACAAACACGTCATTCTACTGACGACTGCTTCTCTAATCTCGGGGAGTTCATCTACATCAATCTACGGTGCAGTACGCCGTAGACCAATCACAACAGACTAGGCCATCTGACCAATCAGAGCAGAGCAGGCTCACGGAAAGGAGGGGTTTAGAGAGACTGAATCTTTGAACTGCTTTGAACGAATCGTTTGAGAATCACTGGAAAATTAAGTGATATTAAATGCATATTTTGAGAAAACTAAAGCGTTTTTTGACCTTGCATGCAAGTAATCCTATTGTAGTAGACTCCCAAAACAATATTAGGAACCGTAAACATTGCATAATAGGGGCACTTTAATAGAAATGTCCCCCACTTCCGCAGTTATCTTTCTCTTTAGTTGCATTCACTTATTTTCTAAAGTCATTTTGAATGTTGTTAAATTGTCAACTAAACCTTTTGTGACAACATTACATAAGTTGACTACATAAATTTACATGTAGTCACAATGCAATTCTCTTCCTATCAGTGCAACGGTATCAAAAAATTATCCTTTAAAGGTAGAACACTGACTAATTTGATGTGGCAATGTAAAGTTATGATTAATAAAATCGCACTATAACACATTTATTATAAACATCATTCTATTGTGATAAATAAGACTAATAATGCAGTTGATTTACTCCCCCTTTAACTGTGACAGTATCAAGTGCCTTTAATAATGTCACACAGACATCAACATTTTGAACACAAAACACAACAATGGTAACAATCAAAATAATTTTGATAGTAAAACTGAATATTACTAAACATTTTTGCTGTCTTTGTTGTGTCAGTGTAACTTCAGGTAAACATACCTTACTTTTTTAGGCATGGAGTTTATTTCCTTTTTTTTAAGGCAATGGATTTCCTCACTTTATTTAAACTGAAGTAAATGAATCACTCTTTTATAGTGATTATAACCATAAAGTTTTCAAAACTGTTCTAGCTCTAAGACAACAGGAAAGATATCATTGGAATCCCTTTCAGAATGATTTCTTTCAGCCAATGACTAATAAAAACACTGGCGATCAATTAAAATCTTTCCTTTAAGCTGCAATTATGTTCACACGAAACTGAAAACGCATATTCTTAGAATAAAGAACATTTTCATCTGCTGGTGTGTGTGCATATATATAATTTAATAACTTTAGTTACTGTTATAGTTATTAATCTTAAAAGTCATTCATCCATCAGTCGGTCTATATTGGTCGTGCTGTTCATTTTTGTGTGCAGCCAAAAAATAGTGGTTTCATTGAATTCAAATGCTTTTGCACAATAGCTTAGCATGCTATCTTCTGGAATCAGCTGTGAATGCCAGTTGAGTCACGAGAGGAGTGCTATTTCTGTGTAGCATGTGAGTGACTGTTAATGAAGCTGCTGACAGTGATGATGCTGCCTATATAGCAGCTCAGTCAAGGATCTCTCAGCTATCCATCAGCTCAGACCCTCAGCAGGGTAATTACCAGCACATTGACAAGACGGCACACCGAAATAAACTCACCTTTCAGAACTGACAGCTAATAACCACCCATCCTGCATTAGCTATACAGTTTGGATTGTATAAGCAGTTTATGCAACTGGATTTGAATATATTATATGGATTTTAAATTATGGGGGTTGTTCTGTTCTGACAGCAGAGTGGTTAGGATATTTAGAATGACTTCATGGACTGGATTTATGACATTCACTCATCCTCAATAATCATGAGCAAAACTATGTAAGGTTAAAGAAATGACTGTCTATTTAGATTAAAGGAAATACCCCCAAAAAATGAAAATTCATCATCATTTACTCACCCTCAAGTTGTTCCAAACCTGTATGAATTTCTTTCTTCAGCTGAACACAAAATAAGACATTTTGTAACCGAACACTGTCTGGTCTCCATTGACTTCCATTGTATTTTCTTCCATATGAAAGTCAATGGGTAACAGCGACTGTTTGGTTACCCACATTGTTCAAAATATCGTATTTTGTGTTTAGCAGAAGAAAGAAAGTCATACAGGTTTGGAACAACTTGAGGGTGAGTTTTCATTTTTGGGTGAAATTTCTCCTTAAGTCCAAATAGTTTACCTTGTCGGCAACTATTGTCTGCTTTGGCCAAAAAACCTGTACAGCTTTACTGCACTATTTACACTTAGCAAATACCATCTAAATACTATTTTTTACAATACTTGTTTTTGCTGTTCACACTTAGTGTAAACAGCATCTATTGCTATTAAAAAACATGGTTTGTGGCAATTGCAGGGTTTTGTGCAATGAAGTATTGGGCCTTCATGTGTTTTTACTGATCGGATAGCTATCAGATTTGTTAAAATGTTTCCATTTAGACTTGGCCACATAAATGTCTTTCCACAAAATGGATATAAATGCAATTTTCAATTCCCATGCTATAGGCAAATTTAGATATGCAACAGATATGCACTGTATTATATTCAACATCAAAAACCGCAATAAGAAAGAGAGCAGTGGTAAGATAATTCAGTCTCACTAACTTTTAATGAAGATGACTGTGTGTTGAGGATCTGCGACTTACTTTCGGTTTAAAAAACACACTTAAGTGACCAGATGTAAACAGGCCCATTGACTCTCAAGAGAAAGAAATCACTGAATTTAGTCATTTAGAAACAAACAAAAAAAAATCCAGTCAACTCTGTGTCTTGAAGTAAAACCAGTTGAGAATCACTGCTCTAGGTTTTTAGGAGTGTTCAGTGATGTGACTAATGTGTTTGTCATGAAGGCACAGTATAATCACTTACTCAGGACACTGACAGTAGACTCACTGGTCAGCTGAACACTCATGGGCATCACATACTCGATGGTGAAGCAACGCCCTCTCTCCTCACCTGAGACAGAGAGATCACAGAGGACGTTATTATTACTCTGAGGTTGTGCTTTCATAGTTTAGGACACAAAACAAGGTTGCGTTTGTGTTTCATTTCATAGTACAGAACAGGGCTTTGTTCACACCGATCACATAACAATAATCACAATTAATAACACAATTTCAAAGTTTTTCTCATTTAAAGTTATATTCTATTGATAATAGATCATTCTAATGATACTCTAATTAGGGATGCACGATATTGGAGTTTTGCCGATATCCGATATTTTCAACTCATTTTGCCCAATAGCCGATACCGATATATTTCCTTTTGTTTGGAAACAACTCCAAGTATCTCCTGTGCAGAAATTATAAGCAATTTTTTTTTTTTTTTGGTTAGCTTTTAACAAGAACTTATTTGTTAGAATTAATAAACAACAATAAAGTTATTTTATAATGACAGTACATTTAAGATTTTAAAAGAACTATAAATAAACTATATTCAATCACTGCAATTTTTTTTCCAGAAAGATATGTACAATTATTTAATTTAAATTACTTTGTGTTTGTTTTTTTGTTCATGTAAGCTATAGCTTCTGAACTTTTATATCAAAACATCCTCATGATTTTATGGCATCAATTACTGCTTTATTTAATCAGAAACACAATCTAAATAGTGTAAACTGTGATTTCTTGAGCTGGATGAAGGCTAGGAGGGCCTGGTATGGTAGTATGGGTGATTGGAGGTTGAAAATAAAAATGAAATGGCCTTTCCTGGTCTGGTCTGTTTTACTTTGCTTGATGAAGTAAGAGATGGTTTCATCATCCAGCACTGTTAGATCGGAAATAGTGGGGTGGGTATTTGGGTTGAAGCTAGATGTGATAGTGAGCTCAGAGCATCTGAGAAAACCAAAGAAAGCCAGGATGAACATAGCGTCAAGCGTGTGGGCGGTGTGAATGGAATGATAACCTCTGCGGAGGGTAGAAATACATTTGGTCAAAATTTGTAAGGTAATGGGTTGCCTGGTATCTGGGCGAGTGGGATGGGATCTTTGGATACCTTTGATGAGTAGGGAGGTCTGAGAATTGGCTATCTGGGGTGAGGGTGAACCGTATAAGAGTTTGTGAAAAAACTGGATTCCGCTTAGATAACCCTTAATGGAGCTGATTTGAAGGTTTTTGTTGATGTTAAGGTGAGAGATGAATGAGGTGATAGCGAGCAAGGAAAAGTCGGGAAATGGCAGGTTGTAGGTGGAGTGAAATGCTTTAAAGCATTTCCAAGCTGTTAGGTAAGATTGGAGGGTCCTGGGGGCGACGGCTTGTAGGATAGAGTTGAGGGAAGCTTCGAGTAGAGGTCTCAGAGGATGATTTATGGGAATATCAGCTCTGAATAGGGAGGTACTGGGGTTGGGGCTGGATCCGCCTCCGGTGCCAGCGTTCTGAATTTCTGGAAGGAAAAGCGAGAGAGAGAGTCAGCTATTTGGTTTTTTGAACCAGGAATATGTTTTGCAGTTAGAATGAATTGGCCGCAAGCCGAGATCCAAATCAGGCGTCTTAACAGAGGCATTAGGGCGGGTGAATGGGAACGGCTTTTATTGATGCAGTGTACAGTAGCCTCGTTGTCACAGTGGATAATGATGCTGGTGGCGGACCACTCCTTACCCCACAGAATTGCTGCGACGACTAAGGGATATAGCTCGAAGAGAGCTGAGGATTTTAGCTGCTGTGGTAAGTCTACCAGCTGGGGGGGCCACGTGGATGCGAACCAGCGGCCTTGATAAAATCCTCCGAAACCGACAGAGGGGGCGGCGTCGGTAAATAACTTAATGTCGATTGGGGAAGAGATTAAGTTATTGTAAAAGAAAGATAGGCCGTTCCATTGTTTAAGGAAGGATATCCATAAGCTGAGCTCGTTGCAGCACGCGTCAGTTAATGATATTCGATCCTCTAGTGCGTGGGCGGAAGACGCGAGAAAAAGGAGGTGTGAGATAAAAGGGCGTCCCTGCGGGATGATGCGCATAGCGAAATTTAGATGACCGAGAATGGATAGCAGCTCGCGTTTGGAACAACTCGGGTTGTCTAAGAGGGTGGAAGCGACCAAGATCGTCCTATCGATTTTTTCCTTCGGCAGAGAAGCCTGGAATTTTTGTGAATCTAAGTTGATACCCAAAAATTCGATGGAGGAGCTCGGGCCTGCGTAGAGGGCGAGGAGATCTGCCTTGGCTGATCGTCGTGGGACGCTGACGCCGGAGCTGACGAGTGCCTGGCGTAGTTCTGCCACGGTCCATTTCTCCGCAGCTGGGGCGGGGGAGAGGGCTGAGGCGTAGGAGGACGCTGGAGAAGGTGGCTGACGCCTTGAAGGCGCAGGTGATGGCGTGCCTCGGTGCCTGGAGGTATGCGCGATGGCGGCGCGGGAGGGCCGGCGGCCCCGAGTTGCAGCCGCGGGCTCGCTTATGGTGTCCTGCGGAGCGCTGGTGTGCTGGACGGCGACTGAAGACGCCGGAGGACCCGTGGTGTCGAATTCGTTATCGTCCGGGAAAAGCTCGATGTCTGACATGGTGCTAAGGATGCTAAGGACGGGAGATAATGTAGGTAAGGCTGCTTTGATTATTTATAGAGGTTCTCTCTTGAGCTGATTGGATAGATGGTGTAATTACTGATGATGAACTGGCCGTGTTAATTATCTGTGCGCGCTCCTCCCGAAACTTGTTAATCCGGAGGACCCGTGGTGTCGAATTCGTTATCGTCCGGGAAAAGCTCAATGTCTGACATGGTGCTAAGGATGCTAAGGACGGGAGATAATGTAGGTAAGGCTGCTTTGATTATTTATAGAGGTTCTCTCTTGAGCTGATTGGATAGATGGTGTAATTACTGATGATGAACTGGCCGTGTTAATTATCTGTGCGCGCTCCTCCCGAAACTTGTTAATAAAACATCACTTAAATTATGTCATTATTTATCATGTCTTTCCAAACCTATGGCTTTCTTTCTTCTGTGGAACACACACACAAATAGATATTTAGAGAAATGTCTCAGTGTTCTTTTTTTGTCCAACACACATTTTTTTGGTGAACTATCACTTTAAGGGCTGTCATCTGTGAGTCCAAGATTGGAGTCACTGACACTTTCCTCATGTGGTGCGACCTACAGGATCATGATATCTCAGTCAGTCTCATATCACATTTACACATTCAACACTATAACACAGTAGTGTTACCCTCTCACATCGAAGTACAGAAATAATGTGAGACTTCTGGACTTCTGAAAGTTTTGGGTGTTTTAAAGCACAAGGCTGATGGTGATCCCAGCAGCCCGTCTCTGTAGAGCTCAAACGACTGCTCACATCTGTTCACAGTCATGCTCAATTTAACCTGCTGTAAACAGCGTGGGTTTGGACCAAACTCAGTTCAATCGCTCGCCCACATCTTCACAGACACACAGAGCGCATTCTTTCACTGAGACTAATGTGTGTGTTTGCGCCACAGCAGGCCGTTGTTTGACAATTCAGAGGAGTGTGAGCTCAACATGTCATCTAAAGTAAATGATAACGAAACATCCTGCCTCGAGTGGATAGACCTCCTCAATACAGCAGAACACATTCCATCATTAAACACGTCCAGAAAATTGCCATGGAGATGTCAAGGGAGGGCACAAGCATAGAACTGAAACCTTTGTAATTAGCCCAGAATGCCTGACCAGACAAAAATAATGGCGTAAACCAATAAATGAATGTGTGAAGTGTATTGGAACGAACTGAAATGACTGGCTATTTGCAGAAGAACAATTTGCAATACTCACAGTAAGAACTTATCAAACACTGTACAAAATAAGAAGTAAAACTCTTAAAAAGATAGGCTTTTTAAAAAATTAAAAAAAAATTTTTCCAACAGGATAAAGTGATCTTTTCATCATGCTGTAGCAAAATCACTGTCTGGGTGTTGGTTAACATTCACTGGAATATCTCGCTTTGTATTATTGTGATGTAGTTTAATTTCTTAAATATCAGCACTGGGAGTTGGGAGATTTATTCACACGGTGATCTCAATTCACACCATCAGAGAGGAAACATTCACAGCGGATGGTGTCGAGGACAAGGCGTGAACACCAGGGAACCGCAACCAAAAAACAAACATCTGCAGTGAATGGGAACATCTAGACTCTCAAGAAAAATACTTAATTAATGAATTAATTTAAATGAATAAATAAACAAACAAACCTGTTCTATACACGTAAATCATAGTTTAAAAAACAGAATGTACATTATTTAATTTGACCCCCTGATTTGGTATTTTTAATACTAATATTTTTCTTCTAATCTTTTTAAATAAATAAATACATAAAATCAGCACACTGAATAATCTTTGTGGAAGTAAGTGAGATGTATGGAAACACGCAATACAGATTTTTTTCTCGCAATTCTGAGTTATAAAGTCCAATTCTATGGAAAAAAGACTATTTTCTTACAATTGTGAGTTTATATTTATAACTCTATATACTTTATAACACGCATATGTGACTTTATATCACACAAGTCTGACTTTATAAAGTTTACTGTATATCTCACTTTTCTGAGAAAAAAAGTCAGAATTGTGAGTTTATGACAGAATTCGGGAAAAAAGGATTGTGAGTTTATATCAGAATTTAGGGGAAAAAAAGGATTGTGAGTTTATGACAAAATTCAGGGGGGAAAGTCAGAATTGTGAGTTTATGACAGAATTTAAAGGAAAAAAAGGATTGTGAGTTTATATCACAGAATTCAGGGGGAAAAGTCAGACTTGTGAGTTTAAATCACAGAATTCAAGGGAACAAGCCAGAATTGTGAGTTTATATCACAGAATTCAGGGGGAAAAGTCAGACTTGTGAGTTTAAATCACAGAATTCAAGGGAACAAGCCAGAATTGTGAGTTTATATCACAGAATTCAGGGGGAAAAGTCAGAATTGTGAGTTTTTATCACAGAATTCAGGGACAAAATGTCAGAATTGCAAGTTTACATTACAGTATTCAAGGAAAAAAGTCAGAATTGTGAGTTTATATCACAGAATTCCAGGAAAAAAGTCAGAATTGTGAGTTTATATTACAGAATTCAAGGTGAAAATGACAGAATTGTGAGTTTATATTACAGTATTCAAGGGAAAAAGTCAGAATTGTGAGTTTATATTACAGTATTCAAGGGAAAAAGTCAGAATTGTGAGTTTATATTACAGTATTCAGGGGGAAAAGTCAAAATTGTGAGTTTATATCAGAATTTTGGGGGGAAAAGTCAGAATTGTGAGTTTATATGATAGAATTCAAGGGAAAAGGCCAGACTTGTGAGTTTAAATCACAGAATGCAAGGGGAAAAGTCAGAATTGTGAGTTTATATCACAGAATTCTGGGGGGAAAGTCAAAATTGTGAATTTATATCAGAATTTTGGGGGGGAAATGACAGAATTTCAAGTTTATATGACAGAATTCAAGGGAAAAGGCCAGAATTGTGAGTTTATATCACAGAATTCAGGGGGAAAAGTCAGACTTGTGAGTTTAAATCACAGAATGCAAGGGGAAAAGTCAGAATTGTGAGTTTATATTACAGTATTCAAGGGCAAAAGTCAGGATTGTGAGTTTATATGACAGAATTCAAGGGAAAAAGCCAGAATTGTGAGTTTATATCACAGAATTCAGGGGGAAAAGTCAGAATTGTGAGTTTTTATCACAGAATTCAGGGACAAAATGTCAGAAATGCAAGTTTATATTACAGTATTCAAGGAAAAAGTCAGAATTGTGAGTTTATATGACCGAATTCAAGGGAAAAGTCAGACTTGTGAGTATAAATCACAGAATGCAAGGTGAAAATTCAGAATTGTGAGTTTTTATTACAGAATCCAGGGACAAAATGTCAGAATTGCAAGTTTATATTACAGTATTCAAGGAAAAAGTCAGAATTGTGAGTTTATATTACAGAATTCTGGGGGAAAAGTCAAAATTGTGAATTTATATCAGAATTTTTTTGGGGAAATGACAGAATTTCAAGTTTATATGACAGAATTCAAGGGAAAAGGCCAGGATTGTGAGTTTATATGACAGAATTCAAGGGAAAAGGCCAGGATTGTGAGTTTATATGACAGAATTCAGGGGGAAAAGTCAGACTTGTGAGTTTAAATCACAGAATGCAAGGGGAAAAGTCAGAATTGTGAGTTTATATTACAGTATTCAAGGGCAAAAGTCAGGATTGTGAGTTTATATGACAGAATTCAAGGGAAAAAGCCAGAATTGTGAGTTTATATCACAGAATTCAGGGGGAAAAGTCAGAATTGTGAGTTTTTATCACAGAATTCAGGGACAAAATGTCAGAATTGCAAGTTTACATTACAGTATTCAAGGAAAAAAGTCAGAATTGTGAGTTTATATGACAGAATTCCAGGAAAAAAGTCAGAATTGTGAGTTTATATCACAGAATTTGGGGGAAAGAGTCAAAATTGTGAGATAAAAAGTTGCAATCACCTTTTTATTTTTATTCAGTAGTGGAACAAGCTTCCATAGAGATGTGTATTACTTAAAAAAAAAAAAAAAAAACCTCTTCAAGCTGTAATGTTATGCGTATATGCAGTAGTGCAGGCAAGTCACAGATTCTACTAAATGAATAACTGTAAATGTAACTAGGTAAAATAGAAACAGCCATGTGTAATTACCTGCCAGAAAACAGACTCTCCAGAGGCCAGAGTGGATGGACATGCGTATGTCAGCGCTCTGGTTCAGAGGCAGGATGACACCCTCCTCCAGGTACAGCCAGTAGTCAGTGCTGACGGCGATACCCAGCAGCCCCAGACTGCATACTGCAAACACACTGCTGAGCAGGGTCAGAGCCTTCCTCCCGCACGCGCTCATGCCACTCAACCTTCAGCAGGGGGCACTCACCACACACAGATAATCTGAGGGGAACGCAGATGCAGTGCTGTCAATTCACAAAGAGCTGCTTGCTGACTGTAAATCAGGCGGGTGTCAACTTCCATCTCCAGCAAATCTGACACATAATGAATCATGAAAACAAGATGAGAATCAACATCCTTACGGAAACAAGTGTTTTCCGGAAGCACACAGATGCAGCTGGAATGCCAGCAACACAGCTCACAATGTGAGATTGACAAGCAGAGCATTCAGTGAAAATCCACACAAGGAGAGAGAAAATCGTTCAGTTGTTTCTGGACAAAAACACACATGCACACTCATGCATTTTCACATCTGTACATGTGTCATCTGAGCACAGCTGGAGCCGCTGAACATGTGATATATGTGTGAGACACTGATGCACAATGCAATATGAAACCGAATCACGCTGCTTGCTGTGTGGCATTGCAAAACTGACATGTCATATATGAATCTTCCATATGAAGTGCAGTATACCTGTAACTCAGAACGTGAGAGCGTCCATTGCTGCTGCGATGATGATGATGCACCTGTTTAAAGAGGGACACATTTGTGAGCTTCTTTACATTTAATGACAGATCTGGGACATTTACTGTGCATGTTCATCCAGTTTAGCCAAAAAACAGTTCTACAACAATGAGGAATAATATAAACTAATCCACGTTTGGGTTAACGGTCTTATATGGCACATGTAAAACTCTTCACTTAAAAGTTTATAAAGAATGACAACTGTGTCCCTCACGCTCTGAGCTGAATAACAACGCTTGTTTTCTGTAGAGCTGCTTTATAGTTGAATTGAGAGTGTTTCACAGTTGAACTTTGCGATATCGACACTGTTACTAAAATAAACTTTGAATTACATTTAGCTGAATAATGACTTCTGTAGTGCTTTACGGGCTAAAATTAAATTAAGACTCATAACTGGCGTTGCAACAATACAACTGTTATTTTCCTGTTTGTTTCTATACAGCTACTTTGAAACAGTCTGTATTGTATAGAAATGAATATGACTTGACTTGGACAATGGTTTGTCTCAAAACTTAGAAATGTTTGGCTTCATTTTGTACGTGTGTTTGTTTATTGCCAATACCACTGCAGACTGTTCAGGTTTTAAAAAAGAGCCAATTTACCATTATTGTTAATAAATGATTGTGCTGTATTATTGCTATGCAGTAAAATTAGTAGTGTACAGTACAGTACAGTATAAGGAAACCTAAAAAATATCAGAGTAAATCTTTCAGTAATTTTTGTTTATTTTATAGTGATGGGTAGCATCAACTATTACTATTTATTGCAAATGACAACTGTAGTAACCATGATAATTTAGCTGAAACTATGGTAAACATTGTGCATTTTTGCACAATACATACAGCAGGAGAATTCCAAATCAGCAGCATGAGCCTATAGTTAGTCAGCTCACTAGGTTTTGAGGCACAGCTTTTATCTTTAAAATCTATTTACATTTTCTAATTTTCTAAAAATGTGCCTTCACTGGTTTCATCACTGTAAACAAAACGTGTCTCTCTGCACATGTTGCAGCAAAATGACTGAGTTATGTTCTGCGCACAGCTGCGTTCTCGTTATTATAAACATATGCAGCCAATTAAGCAATTTAAAACACATTTGAATACTTTTAATACATGTACACTATATCAACCAAATAACCATATTTAAAGCACACATTTTAAACAGGTTTTAATATATTATATGCAATGTGTAAATCCCACTAAGTATATCAAATCGTGCATTTTAAGACGCATTCATCTGTGTTGACATGCAAAAAATGATGACATCAACTGTATAGTTCTTCATCTGCATTGAAAAGATGGTAAATTACCTGAAGGATGTTGTTGATGAGAGTAAATCCAGCTGTGGAGTGAAGCAGCTCCTCGCAGCAGCCCAGTCTGACCACGAGAATGAACACGAGCCCGCGGGCGTGTTGTAAGTACGTATGTATGTGTGTGTGTGTGTGTGTGTGTGTGTGTGTTATGTGAGAGTACGTGGTGCAGGTTAACAAGTCTGTTCGTTCGTACTTCAAGTTTATTTTAGTAAGTATACTTAAGTAAAGTTCAAGTATATTTTTAAGTATACTTTATGTAGTAAGTATACACATATCAGTGTACTAGTAGTATACTTGTAAATGTACTATTTCAATACTCCTTGGGACTAAATTGGCCCACTTTCTAGTATATAAAAGTATACTTTTAAGTATACTATAAGTATAACAGTAGTAAACTTTGAGTACACAACTAGTTTACATCAAAATGTTTAGTTTGTACTGCAACTATACTAAAAGTGAGCTTATAGGTATACTGATAGTTTTCTAATTAAATACTTGTAGTAGCATTTTTAGTACACTTTGAAGTATAGTGTCAATAAACTACTAGTTTAGTAGTTTTATACTGCAAGTATACTCGTAAGTTTTCTTTAAGTGAAATTTACATCATACTACTATGTCCCTATTTAGGTATTCATTTGTATATATTTTGTTATATAAATATCTGAACATACAAAACACCTAAAGAACAGGGTATCTGCTTGTAAACAAAAACATTTTATCCTAGCTTCACTTCGGTTTCTTCTTCACTTGTGTTTTTTGGAAATTCTGTACAGAAGATGTGTACTTGCGCCCCATACAGTATAACAATGAAAACACGGATTCTAGGAACACAAGTATAGCTCAAATATATTTAGACTTTTTCTAAGTATAAGTCAAGTATACTTAAATGTCATTTTAAGTATATTTCTTAGAAGTACATAAAGCCCATTTCTGAGAAGTACATAAAAAGTAGACTAAAAGTATACTTTCCTATTTTTAGTTTAAAAGAAGTATACTAATAGCACACTTGAATAAACGTCTTTTTCGTAAGGGGAGTCTTTTTGGAGAATAAAAAATATACAGGGCATCTAGTGTAGTGCAATTCACAAACAAAGACTCACAAAGAGTTGCCTGATTGAATCACTCTGATTGAAAAGCTAGTACAATACTGTACTTTCAGATTTGTCAGTTTTCAAAAATAAAGCAGTTTGTAAAAATGCTTAAACTTATCACTGCCTGGCTATTCACTTGGCAGGCATTCAGTGTTTAAGAAAACATATAGAGCAATATGCTCCAAATAGGCTATCTATTAACTTAATTGGCCTAAATGACACTTTCTTAAAAAAGACCAACTCGTCTTCTTCATTTTTTTTAAGATTTATTTTTGCCATTTTAGCATTTATTACAATAGGACAGTGTGATGACAGGAAGCAAAGTGGGAGAGAGGGGGGACGGGATTGAGAAAGGTCAACGAGCCGGGACTCGAACTCAGGATGCCCAAAGCCAGTTAGGTGACCGCTCTTAGGTGATATGTTCACTTTGAAACTCGGTACAATTGTACAGGTTGGGGCCATCGCAAAAACACCTTGTGGTGGCCATGGCAACCATTACTTTCTGCCATAACTAAATTATGTGTTTTGTGTCATATCTATCTCCTGAACCAAACATGATAACACAGAAAAGGTGATGCCTACCCTATGCTTTAATGGTCAAGGATTACAATGATACCACATACAACAACATAAACTGCTCATAAAGTCATTGAATTAACCATTAACTGTTCACCTGATTGAGTTGCCGTCCGCGTGTGATGTTAGAGCATTGTTGAGAGAGAACAAGAATGTATTGGAAACACACTACCACCTACCTGACTCTGCCTGAGAGGTAAGGAAAAATACACTTACCCGAGATGATTTTTTTAATATCTCTGAAATGACAATATTCTTGAAAACAATCTTTTAACGTATTATTAAATAAACTTCTAACCAGAAATCGATAAAACTTTTACTGATGGTCTCCTACAAAGATAACTGTTTAAATGTGTTAACTGTTGTTTTCTTTTTATTATTCTTTTCCTTCATTTGTTTAGGTTGTGTTGTTCTATTTGGTCGGCTCTGTTCTGTACATCCCCTGTACTGTTTCTATAGAAACAGTAAATTGATTGCAACCACTTACCATACAATGTTTTTGTAAATTCAATGAATATTTTTTTTTTCAGTGTATATGTTCAAAATAATATCATTACACTGTAAAAAATTTTTTTTTTACAAGAATGTATTGGAAACACACTACCACCTACCTGACTCTGCCTGAGAGGTAAGGAAAAATACACTTACCCGAGATGATTTTTTTAATATCTCTGAAATGACAATATTCTTGAAAACAATCTTTTAACGTATTATTAAATAAACTTCTAACCAGAAATCGATAAAACTTTTACTGATGGTCTCCTACAAAGATAACTGTTTAAATGTGTTAACTGTTGTTTTCTTTTTATTATTCTTTTCCTTCATTTGTTTAGGTTGTGTTGTTCTATTTGGTCGGCTCTGTTCTGTACATCCCCTGTACTGTTTCTATAGAAACAGTAAATTGATTGCAACCACTTACCATAAAATGTTTTTGTAAATTCAATGAATATTTTTTTTTTCAGTGTATATGTTCAAAATAATATCATTACACTGTAAAAAATTTTTTTTTTTAAATCCGTAAAATAACTGGCAGCTCATTACACATCATTATCCATTAATTTTGCCGACATTTCTGTTAACTCTAAAACACAATGAAGTGTAAAATTCAAAATACTGGTAAAACACCTGTAAAAAATAAATATGGAAAAATTCCTTTAAATTATACAGTATATTGTTCACTATTTTTACAGATTTTTTTTAGAGTGTATTTATTAAAAAAATATACACATTAAAATATTAAATATACACATCATGCATTTTGTTGGTAATGTTTTGTAAAGATGAATGAATTGAATAAGTTACCAGTTTTGTTTGGTATTGCCGCTTTATCACCAATTATTGAAATGCATGCATGCCACCTTTACAAAGACATTTTTAAAAAGTCAAGTCTGGTAAATGACCTTTTGTAGTAATTGTTTTAATTCACCCTCATCTTATCACTTGGCCCCGTGTTTCATTTTTTCAATGCTTATTCTTTAAAAGTACTAAAGTATTGTTAATGGAACCCTTAAGGAACAGGAATCCGAGTTTAATTCTTTATGATTCCCATCTTTGACTTTGGTTTCTTCATTTTGAAGACATAAAACATGGACATTATCACTTTTGTTTATTTATTTATTTATTTATACACATTATCCTTCACAAAGAACAGAGGGACAACATTTTGTAAAGAAAAAAACAAAGATGAGTGATTTAACTTATTCAAACTAAAACACTGTCCTGGAATCCATAATTTCATAATAATAATACATATATCTTTATAATTCCTGATATAATCTCTAATAAGAAATGGCTGGGTGGAATGTTTATATTCTTCAAATGTCCAGGGAATGTTGGAATGCCACCTCACATGCAGAAAAAACACAATCAAACACGTGAACGTTACATTCCCAAATACTCTCAATGTGAGACACTTGTGTTAACCTGCATCCTGCAAGACGACCACTTGAACACGTTCTGAATCACTTCATAAGAGGACCGGCTCTATTTCCACCTGTTCGTCACGTATCCATTTACTTCTGAATGAATGAAGAAATAAACATCTGAAATATCTACTTGTTTTTCCTTCCATACACAGGGGCTTCAATCATCAGGTCTATTAAATTTCTACTGAAAAATGACAGATCAAAAAACGTGCTCATACTGATGAATCAGTGGTGAAATTCAACAATGGTGCACCTGATAACTACAGTATTTCCACCGAGGGCTTGGCACAAGACTAGAGCCCAAACCGAGCGATCTAATGAGTAAATACAGCATTTCTGAGGTACTTTTTTTTTTACTAGAATACACTAAATGATGTCTGAAGTGTGGTAAAACTGAATTCCCCATCTTTCCCCAGTTGTCATACAGATCATTGAGACGAGACAGAGTTACTCAGCAGTGGTCTAAATCTTCATCCACAGACTGAAACTAAACAGGAACAAAAGCAACAACACAAAGGAAGAGAGTTGAGGTGGGACAGATATGTAACAATCATTCCATGAGGACTCCGGATTCCTGGAATCATGCAACACGTTTTGCATGCGCCGATTTGCCCCACATGCACACAGCAGCTGCAGTACAAACACACATAGAGTATGTAGGAGCCCAGAGCCCAGTCAGTCTACATACAGCTTATCTACTATCAGCATAGAAAACAGAGCAGAATAAATACAAGAATTACATGTAACAAACCCAGCGGTTGGGTTACTACCCAGAAGGTTGGGTTAAACATTTAACCAAACCGCTGGGTCAAAACAGCCCAATTGCTGGGTTTGTCCCTATTTAACCCAGCACTGGGTTGTATTTAACCCAGCATTTTTTAGAGTGCATGGTTTATAAATACTTAATGTACACTAAATAGTACATCTTCATTTCACATTTTTCCACATTAAAGTAGGTGTACATTAATTAATTGAGCTTTTAGAGTAAATGTGCTTAACAGCCATGAAAATGTCACAATGCACAAAATAAAATAAAGAAAGCTTAATGGTTTTAAAACATGATGTCTTTTTCTTTAAGCAAAGAAGAATTTCTGGGGTGAAATATGTCCTGGACATGGTTTTGACCGGGGTTTCATCTCGTTACATGTTGTTTATATTGTAGCAGTGGTAGTTTTCTTTAGCATACTATGCAGGTGTTAAATCAAAGAGCATATCCGTTTCTAACAGAAGAGACTCGGTCTGGTTTGAAATGTTGCATTGGCTACTCTTTATCAGGCCCAGGCAGAATCTGCAGACTTTTTTTGTGCTGATCATGACAGAAAATCTACGGGATGGATGTAAACAGGGTAAAATATGTTAAATAAAACAGTATCATTCGATTATCTGAAGTATTTCATAAAAACAAACGTGCAAGCGGATGAGTAGGACAGGTGATTTCATTCTGTGGAAATCTGCATCTGGATTCTGCGGGTGCGTAGGCTTGCGCTTTACCAACAAGGAATCACAATTCATACATTTCGAGCGAGAGGAAAAGTTGTGGATATGGTGAATATGTAGGAACCAGGCGAGCAGGCAGTGACGGGATTGGAAGTTGTCATGCTAAAACTCGGGGAGCGATAAGGGTTCAAGTTTCAGCCCAAGATAAGGGACACCACCAAGAGATCTAGTAGGAAATCAATATGCATATATATAAAAAACCTTTTGATGCAGTTATATTTTGGCACTCCTATAACAAGATATATATTTTTTAGATTTACAAATATATAATTCAGGAACATTAGAAATGGCAGTAGAGGATTTAAGGAATAGGACACAAAAACCTGTTTCATGTCAGCATGCTTCACACACAAAGAATCTGAGGACTGGAAAAGGGGATTGTTCATTATCTCCACCTTCAAAAAAAAATATGGCTTTGGGCCTGCACATAACATCTATCTGCATACAGGCATTAGATGAACTGTCATTACTGTGAGGACATTATCACTCTGTTTCAAAAAGCCTAGAGAGCTGCCTTTCTGTCTACTGCCTGCCCAAGCAGCACCCTAACCGAGATGGAACCTCATAAAAGAATAATTTGTCTTTGGTGCCTTAAAATGCTCATGATATATTCCCATTCAGCCATTAAACCCCCTTCTCCAGCCCTCCTCAGTTCAGATAAAGGGTATTCAACTGTCTACAAAGATTTGGTGAGTTCATAAATAACATGGATGTGGTTGTTAGTTTGAGCTGGATGGCCGGTCCTCTTCTTCATTGGGCCGTCTCATACCACACTGTGAAGCGACGATGGGTGGATGAACTCTGGGTTTATGTAAGAGAATCCAGCGAATTCGCTCTGGTCGATGTTGGCGATGACCAGTTGGTCTGGAGGGGTCAGCATGGGCTGCGTGCGGGTGAAGAATTTGTCGAAGTTCTCCGCCGCTTTGCCGCACTGTGAAAGGAAGGGGAGAAGAAAGACGGCGGGTTATTTTTTAGATTCAATTGAAAAGCTGGCCGTGGTGCCTGAGAGAAAATTCATTCACGTAGGACTTCCGTTACAGACGTCATGTATGCTAATATGTTCAGTAAATGGAGAATTTTTAGAACGATGACTGGAAGGGGAATATTCAGGGCTGTGTTAAAGGTCGAAACGACTGTAGCCCAGCTTTAGCACCTGTGTGGTCCTTTGAGGGGGCTGTGCAAACAAACATGGGTGGGCACAGGTTGAGATGAATCAGGTTATACCCATAAAACACATATATATACACAGAGTGAGGGAAGATCAGCACAGAGGGTGGGTGGTTTTGATGCAGACACATGAAAAGACTCTTAAAATAGTCCAGGCCTTTATCATGTGGATTCCCTTATTAGATGGCCTGAGATGGCCAATCAAATGAAAGTAGGCGGGGTTTACTGTTCATAAAAGCAGAGCGGGAATTCCAGCGTGAAGCATCAGATTAACGCTGAAAGAAAGCGAGGTAAGACGCAAGTTGCAAATCATTTAATATTATTCAACTGTTTCACGATAGAAATATTAAATAACAGACAGCTATATCCAGTGACCTTTTGAGAGATTAAAGTTGCGTGTATGAATGATAATGTTTTTATTAATATCATTACACTTTATTTGCTCTGTTTAATTTTATTTTTATTTATATACTATGTATATGGAATAACCATTTTATAAAAAAAAATAAGCCCCTTGAAGCCGGGGTTTACAGTGAATTTATAACAGCTAAGGAGGTTGTAGCTAACAACGCCCCTTAGCTGTTATAAAATTCACTGTAAACAACAGCTTCTTGGGGCATATTGCTTATTTTACCGCCTTGTTACTGAGAGATATAATGTAGCGATTCAGTCTTGATGCTAATTTATAGCGTTGACAAGTTTCTGTGTATGTGCAGCACAATCTGTGCATTAAATGGTTTTAATACACACCTGCATTTTAAATATATAAATAATGGTCTCCCCCAATATTCAAGACATGGTTACAGTCTTAAAGCATGACTCAAATGGATGATGGGCAAGAAGAAATGACGATAATGGTATTTGGATTTTTTTTTTTTTACCAAAGAACAAAATAGGTTTGGATGACGTCATGACGATGTCGTGAATGTGGACTTTACATGTTACAGCACGAGCTAGAGGTGAGTAATACTTCTGTCTTCAGTCAGCTAGCTTTATGATTGGGAATTGTTTCATTCCGCGTGACAATCTACAGAGTGCATGCATGTTTGTCCCCTTACACAACAGGATTTCTGATAATATAAATATTCAACATGTTGGATATTTATGATTTGAGATCAGCGAGGCATTCTTCTGAGCATATTTAATCACTCTTAACCCAACACACAGCACAGTAGAAAATCTGATAAGATTATCTGTAGAACCACCAAGATAATCGGGACCTAGGATGGTTGGAAGGGCAGAATTCAGGCCAAAATCTGCCCGATTATCTTGTGGTGTGTGCCCCACTTAAGTGTGGTTTTAGACCTGTAGACTGTCCCGAAACAGGGACTTAAATTGTTATGATAAGGGATTTCGCACCGGGTAGTTATAGGAACTTTGTTGCAAGAACTAGCCACCAGGGCAGTCCCGTGAGAACGACATTTTCACCTAGGGCCATTTTCCTGGTCGCATTCGAACACAGCAGTGCTGGGTTGGGAATGCAGACATGAAAGAGAGCACGCACATCACGTTAACATCGGACGTATCTCGACGACACCAGTGCGAGAAGTCACCCTTTTTTCAGAGACTTCAGATGGAAGCTAGTGCGAGTGAAAGACGGTTTATGGTAAGTAAAGATTAAAAATGTAAAGTCATCATTCATTGTTTGAGTCCAGTAGTATTTTGAGATTTCATGGAAGGCGGAAATATTCCGAAAAGAGCTTATATTGAAAAATACGTGGACGTGGATTTCGCCTCAGAAATAGTCTATTTTACTGAACGGAAGAGGTGCTTTTAATATAACGTCAGTGAGTGTCTTATGTCGTATTTACATAATTTAAATTTTTTGAGGTGTTAAGAGAGGGTTATTAACATATTTACATGTTAATTCGTTATCTTCTTTTTCACGGTTAAATTGAATGTAGTTTCCTAAAGGAAACGGCGTTATGTAATAAAGACTAGCCTAATTATTTTGAGGCTGATGAAGTGATAATTGTTAATTGTTAAAAGTAATGTTTTGCATGTAATATTTCAGACTTGTTGAACTTTGTGTCTTCATTGTGCCCGCGCCGGGAGTTAACAACACAGTGCTTGTGTGAGGAGGTGATTTTCACAGCTTCTTCAGAAGAGAAGGAAAGATGGTTTAAAGCAAGTAAACTTCAGAATTCCATCATGTTATCAAATTTTTTTTTTTACTAAGAGTAAAAGAATGTTTGTTTTTGTAGATGTTGAAAGCCAGAGACATAGGAGAGCATCATTCTTTTGAGATTGATGTGAGTTATTTTTAGAAAATAAATGTTTCTGTTGTCTCCTGCCTGTTTACTTCACATTTTGATGCAACAACAGTATGATTACGTGTTCATATTTTATGTAAACCATTGATGTCTGTGTTTTTCATTGCAGAACTCAAACCAACTTTGGAGTTGTCTGATTTGGAGAGTCATCATTCTTGGTCTTCCTTTCTTAACGGAATAGTTCACACAAAAAAATCAGTTACTTGCCTTCATGTCATTCCAAACCTATAAGACTTTTGTCTATCTTTAGAACACAAATTAAGATATTTAAAAAATTTAGAACATTTGTGAGGTATGTGAATGTCATGTCTGTTTTAATGTTTCAATAAAGAAGTAGCTTTCTTAAAACAATATATGCATTTAAACAATATTACATGCCCTCACACTAGTGCTGCCATTATAGCATTCTAGAGCGCTGTGGTAGACAGAGACATTAAACAACCACACAAAGTGGTTGAAATTATAAAACAGACTATTTACCTATCCTTACTGATATGGTTGCACCTCTATCTGAAAATGGATAGATTTTAATAAAAATTTTTCTTTTGTTCAAATGTTTTTCTCTTTTTAGACCACTGATGAAGAACAGCCGGTGACTGGGATGAATGCTGGTCAAAGAGGGATAAATGTTATAATATCAGTGTTAATGTTGTGGTTTATTTACTGTCATGCCAGAATAGTTTGTAAAGAACTTAACTATTAACTAATTGTACAACTATTGTATAATAGTGTTTTTGTATAATATTTTTATACAATATCTAAAACTTACCAAAAAAATTCAAATTTGATTTTAAAAGTTATATATATATATACACACTGTATATACTGTATATTATATAACATATTCAACAAATGTTCAATGCTTAATTTATAAACTAGCTGTTAATGCCATACTTTTCTGCATTTCTTCTTACATGCATGTTACTTTTGACTGTTTTCTCTTGTTTTAAATAAATATTTACCCTTTGATAGTCATTCTGTGTGTGTAAAAGTGATTTTAAAATGAACAGGATTTCTAGGTTTAATGTCTAGCTTGATTTGGGTTCATTTTAGCCTAGCAATGTAGTAATTTTAAACCATAAAAAAGCAACCCAGCATGCTGGGTCAAACATTATAACCCAACTTGTTGGGTTAAAACAACCCAGCGCTGGGTTGCCAAAATAACCCAAATTGGGTTGTTTTTAACCCAGCTGTTTTTAGAGTGCATGTAAACTGTGTGTTTACGCAGCTTTTTTATATGGTATGCATTCGGCCAATCAACATACACTTACGTCACTGGTAGTTCCTATTGTCCTGGTTTAGATCCTACTGTAAAGTAGGAGCCAACGTATTCCCCCCAAAAAGCATTCCTACACTCTAAAAAATGCTGGGTTAAATACAACCCAGTGCAGGGTAAAATAGGGACAAACCCAGCAATTGGGTTGTTTTGACCCAGCGGTTGGGTTACTACCCAGAAGGTTGGGTTAAACATTTAACCCAACCGCTGGGTCAAAACAGCCCAATTGCTGGGTTTGTCCCTATTTAACCCAGCACTGGGTTGTATTTAACCCAGCATTTTTTAGAGTGTATAACTAAAATCAGTCCCAGTTCCTGCAGTGTGAACACGCCAAAGAGCAGGTACTTCTGCCAGTAGTTATAGGAACTATGAAATCGTTCCTTCGGTGTGAAAGCCCCTTACTTGTTTTATTTAGCTTTCAAAGCATACCAAAATGTGACATGTTCATATACAGTATGCATTCACGAACTGAACAAAGGGAGAAAATGCTCCAGGTCCCAAAACAAATACTTCAAACAAGCCAGGTATGAAAATGACCCAAGAGTGTGGGAGCAGGAATTAATCACCAAAACTGATTGGTTAAACTGGATGAATGGGTTACAGAGATACTTAATTTTTCAATATGATCACTCCTGGCTTCTCCAGTTCACTGAAAACATCTTTTTCAGATGCATTAAAAAGTTCTGCACAGATTTCTGTTTCTGTTTGATGGACTTGCTCAGTGTTTAGGTGAGATTAGAGCCTTGTTGGCAGGCAGTTTTCTTCATCTTAATACTAGTAAGACTTGAGTGTGTTGTCTTTGGACCCTCTTCTGCTTCCAAGGAAATTGTAAGTTGGTTGGCCTCTATAAGTGTTTCAGATCATGTCAAGAATTTGGGTGTTATAATGGATTCAGCTTTAGTTTTAGATAAACAGGTGCCTAGTGTTGTAAAGGCTGCGTTTTATCAACTCAGAATTATTTCTAAACTGAAATCAATTGTCTCTTTTAAAGACCCGGAGACTGTTATTCATGCTTTTGTATCATCGTGCATTGACTACTGTAATTCTGTATATATAGGTATTTCACAGGGTCAATTATCTCGTCTTCAATTAGTACAAAATGCTGCTGCCAGACTTTTGACTCTCACAAAGAATAGAGAGAATTACCCCAGTCTTGGTTTCTTTACACTGGTTGCCAGTTAAATTTAGAATTGAATTTAGGGTTTTGTTGATGGTTTTTAAAGTGTTGCATGGCATTGCCCAAAAATATATTGTTGACCTTTTGTTGTGTTGTATTGTATTGTATAAACTCTCTGGGCTGGACTATTGAGCTTCTTCTGAGGATCTTCTGAGGAAGAGCTCATCATCTCCCGATTGCTCGTGAGTTACAACTCTTAAAGTCAACATGAAATCAAATACTTCTTAATGCACATGCCTGATCACATTGTGCATGTTTCATGTTTTAAAAAAGTGTTTGTATTGATATTCTGGAATCCACCTACTCTGAAGTGACTTGGCTCCCTATTGACTTTGTCATTTCTCAAACCGTCCCCTCCATCCACCTATTTTTCACCCTCCTTGATCATAAGCCAAATTAATGTCATATACCTGTAATAAAAACATGATTTTGGAGGACTAATTTGCTATTTTGTTCTATGTGGTTTTGATTTATTTACACACGTATCAATCGTGGTTTCCCTCACACTCTTCAAAAACTGTGTTTACATTCTCATGATAAACTAAAAGGTGTAGAATTAAATTTGTACATATTTGGATAGACAGATAGAGATTGTACAGGATGTTAGTTTGCTTATTTTGCTCAAGAGAATGATCTATCGAAGTCAATGCCATTCTAACTAATCGCAGGTCAAAGCTGTTTGCAAATGTTCATTGGAACTATGCTTTTGGGAAACACAGAATCATGGAACTATGATGCTTTTAGAAAAAAAACGCACCACTGATTGTTAAAAACCAGAGGACTCCACACTAGGAAGTAACATAGCAGCAGCTAGCCAATGGTGGATGCACTAGCTTCAGTCATCTTAGTGTATAGCATGCATTAGATGAGCAGGGATTGGTTATTTGAGGCTGAGGCTATGACACATCAAACTATTATCAAAGAACAGGGGTTATGTAAGTAACTAAACAACATTCAGTGTGGTCTACTGTGACCTCAAAGAGCGAGCTGTCACCAACACCAACAGCGCTGGCAAAGGTCACATATGTACAAACACATCATATTCACACTCACCACTTTGGGTTTGAAAGGAGGCTGGATCTCTCTGTTGGCCAACCGTTCCCAGTCGATTCTGCGGAAGAAAGCTTGCTCCTTTATATCTCGCTCAGCCTCTGGACCGCAACCTAGACGCTTGGATGGATGCTTCGTCATCAGCTGTGCATATGGAGGAGAAGAGAGAGATTATTAAACCACAGCCCATTTACCTCAGATTTAATCATGAAGGAGCATCTGGCTAGGTAGGCTAAATCTGAAGCATAAAAGATGTATATAAATAATTTATTTTTCATTTTATAGAAACCACTAAAATACACTAAAAGCCCCTCACTGCAGAACACAGGGGGCGTGGTTGGATCCACATCTAGGGGTGGAGATGGATAGGTTTAGGGGTGGAGCTCTGGGAGATGGATAGGTTTAGGGGTGGATTCATCAGCTGTGCATATGGAGGAGAAGAGAGAGATTATTAAACCACAGCCCATTTACCTCAGATTTAAGCATCTGGCTAGGTAGGCTAAATCTGAAGCATGAAAGATGTATATAAATAATTTATTTTTCATTTTATAGAAACCACTAAAATACACTAAAAGCCTCTCACTGCAGAACACAAGATTCAGGGGGCGTGGTTGGATCCACATCTAGGGGTGGAGATGGATAGGTTTAGGGGTGGAGCTCTGGGAGATGGATAGGTTTAGGGGTGGAGCTCTGGGAGTTGGGTGGGTGTAGGGTTGAG